CCTGCTTTGACCCGATAACATTTCTCGAAAGTATTTCGGGTGTGCGAGCTAGCGAGAATGTGTGTGTGTGTGTCTGTGTCTGTCTGTGTGTGTATTGGCATAAGTCGATCGTTTTCTTTATTCTTTATAGCTGTGCTTTCTATTTTGGTGGCACGCCAACCTCTCCGCCCTACAGGCCCCTGTTAGCATTTGCCTGGCTGCATGCAAAAGCATTTGCTTTAATTATTCGAATTGGACATAAACAAAGGCAACCAATTGGCATTGGGCAAGTTGAAGCGCTTTGCTGTTTGCTTATGGCCAAATGATAATTTGGCCCAGACTGTGAAACGTCAGGTGGCCCCGTTCTCGGCTCGCTGTAGGCCTACGGCTTTTCCAACACCAGGCCAAGGCCGTGCCGAAGATGGGGCATCGTCTACCCTCTTTATCTATAGCTCATCAATCACAGCGCAAACATTTCAATTGCTGGCAAATGTGTTGACAAACGTCGGCAGGCTCGACAGCCGCGGTCTGGGGCTTGCGTAGGAGCCATCGCGAACGCGCGGCTTTCAACCCCTTTTTGACGCCCGCACATTAGCAACACGTGTCAAGTGTTCGCTTTCCTGCTCTCCGCTCCCGGTTGGATGTCTTATTCTGCGTTGGCACAAGTCTGGAGTCCCTGCCTCCTGCGACGTCGTTACTCACTCTTAGACCCGGTTCGGACGTTGCCTTTTCCTTGCCAGCTCAAACGCCTCTCAGTCGCAGCCGTAAGTCTCATTCTTTGACTCTGTTCCGATCTCTTTCCCTGTGCATCTCCTGCTCTGACCTCTCAGCTGTGGTCCTTGTTTCCTCCTGCTTGCCTGCGCTCTCGACTCTTCTCTGCTCTTCTAGTTCCCGTAACGTCTTGCTCTTCACGCCACCTCCGACTTGCTGCAGCGTCTTATTCTGCGCCCCAGCTACAACGCGTCTCCCTGATTCCATCCTCATACGCCTTCTGCTGTTGTCTCTTTTCTATTGGACCCTGCTCTAACCCCCCACGCCGGCCCCCTGCTCTTGCCGCCCAGCTCGGGTGCACTTAATTACACTTTTATGGAGTCATCCGCTACGCCAGCTCGCAGCCATTGTTGTCGCTGGCCGCAATTGCTGTTGCATTTCGCTGACTTTGGCTTTCATTGCTGCCGGCTGAGTTATGAGCTGATGCAATTGCTGCAACAACTATTGTTGGCTTCCCGCCCCGACCACTGCTGCCTCATGCAGTTATTGTTGTTGTTCTTGCCGTTGTTGTTTATATGTTTAAACATTGTTTTGGACTTTTGTGACTCTCACGGCTTGCACATGAGCTCGGCTCTCTTGACCCCAAAGGCACTTGTGTTCCCTTCCATATCGATAGATCTATCCACAGCCCTCCCATTAAGTGGTATTCGTATTATTTTGCGTCTTTTTAAACAGAGACTTTAGTTTCTTAATACTTTTGCTTATTGCATTCCTTCTCTTAGCCACTTGTGCTTATTATAAATATGATTTTTTATTTTGTTTATTATGGAAAATATTTAACAAATCCCAGCGATATTTTCTTTTCTCTTTTGTTATATTTATAAATAAAGTATTTCCTCACTAAATATGCAAAATGTTCGAATTACTTTGCAGCTGCCTTGCTTTCGGCTCTTCATAATAGGAAATAGTTAGTTGGCAACAAAAAACTTCTGGGCTAATTGACCTCTCAACGTGAATTGCTCCGGCAGGCAAGTGTCTGCAAAACACTTTTAGAATTTTCAGCTTTTTCCTTAAAGTCCGCTCGGACTTAAGTCTTCCACAGCCTGAAGTATTAGGAGTGAGTAGTACTCTCCCCACACTCTCAGCGCTTCCTTCTCTGTCTATTCTCATTTCGCTGCTTCTTTCTCTTTCTCCATCCACACTTTTTTCTATCTTCCTCTCTTTTATTTCTTTTTGTGTCTCTGCCCCTGTTCTCTTCCTTGCTCCTATTGTATTCTATACTGAAAGGTCTTCAACACATTCTGAAGTAGAAGAAGTGACTTGCTCCCCTCTCTTCTTCCTCTTCACACAGTCACTTAGTCTTTCCTCATGTTATTCTATCTATATCTTACTCTGTCTGCCATTCTCCATCTTTCTGGCTCTCTCTCTCTTTCTTTTATTTGCTTTTCTGCTGGATTTTCATTGCTTTTCTTAATTTTTTTATGAAAAAGCCCCAAAAATTTGGCTCAGTAATGAGTAAGTTGAGACCTTCGAGAACTTATAGGGTATGCATATTTGATCAACTCTCCGCCCACATTTGATTTATTTCTGATTGTTCTCTGTTTTGTTTTGGCTGTAATTCGATTTTTGTTGCTCTTTTTGTCTGATTTACATTTATTTGTTTACCTTTGGCTGTTATTTATTTATTTGTCTGCTCTTTTTTGGCTTCCTTTTTATACTCCTTCATCAAGTGAAATGAGAGAGTATATTGGTTTTGTACACTGTTCAACCATCTATATGAATGCATAAATGTATTGAAGCTAGACATTTGGTATTTATAGCTGCATGCCTGTTCAGCCTAGTCTTATAAGGTATGAGGCTTTGAGGTATCTAAGGTATTTCAGGCTTTGGATAAGTCCCCTAAGGCTATATGAACATAAATATGTATATGAATAGGAATATTGAATATGAATTATGAATATGAATATTATATGAATATGAATAATTAATAAGAATGCGAATATGAATATAAATATGAATATGAATATGACTCTGATCTGACTCATACCTCTGCTCTGAATATGCTCTGCCTCTGCCTATGACTTGCATCTTTCTCTGCCTCTTCCTCCGCCTGCGCCTCTGCCTGTCATTGTCTGCCTTGCATCTGCCTCTGCCTCTCCTCTGCCTCTGCCTCTGCCTCTGCTTCCTCTGCGCCTCTGCCTGTCTTGACTTGCCTTGCCTGCTCTAATCTCTGCTCTGCCTCTCTTGCTCTTGCGCCTGCGCCTCTGAATATCCCTATGCCTCTGCCTCTGCCTCTGAATATGCCTATGCCTATGCCTCTGCCTCTGCCTCTGCCTCTGCCTCCTGCCTCTGCCTCTGCTCTCTCTGCCTCTGCCTCTGCCTCTGCCTCTGCCTCTGCCTCTGCTCTGCCTCTGCCTCTGCCTCTGCCTCTGACTCTGCCTCTGCCTCTGCCTCTGCCTCTGCCTCTGCCTCTGCCTCTGCATCTGCCTCTGCCTCTGCCTCTGCCTCTGCCTCTGCCTCTTCCTCTGCCTCTGCCTCTTGCCTCTGCCTCTGCCTCTGCCTCATTTCTCTGCCTCTGCCTCTGCACTCTGCCTCTGCCCCTGCCTCTGCCTCTCCCTGTGCCTCTGCCTATGCCTCTGCCACCGCCTCTGCCCTGTGCCGCTGCCTCTGCACTCTGAGTATGATCCTATTCATGAATATGAATATTACAACAACATTTGAATGTGACTCTGAATAATGAATATACATATGTCTATACTCCACCATGAAGAACATTAATCAGTCGCTATGCTCATTGACAACGTATTTACATGTGTCTTTTTTTGGGTTGAGATGCTCATTTGGATTCGAACAGCTGTCAGCGCAGCTATCAAAAAGTCACCCACATTGATGGCTTATCGATGATGCGGAAAGTGTCTCCCAGTGTCATTCCCACTGTTACACCTACAGCTAGTGCCGCTCCGGCTGCCCCGCCGCCCGCTGCTCGGTGGAGCATTTCACGGTCCATTGAGCCATGGCCCAAATGTACTGTGCATAATTTTTATTAAAAACAATTTTATTGCATATTTTACATATTGGCATTTTCGCATGTTCGCATATTCACAATTTGCGATACGCATCCAGCGTTCGGCGATTGGCCCCAATACAATTTTCCATTTTCCAATTCCCATCTCCCATTCTCCCGCTGGCAAAATTGCATCGTAAAAAATACTCTGCATTAAATGCAATCGTTAAAAATGATAAATGTTCAATAGTTAAGTGCTGCGGAACTGGAACTGGAACTGGAACTGGCACTGGAATCGGTACTGGAACCAATTGACCGAGTAAATTTGATTGTTACAAAATGCAATTCCATTTTCATTTCGATTTACATTTCCATTTCCATTTTCAGTAATTAATATAAAGAGCAACAGATACAGATGGACTCGTTGGCTTTACAGCTACAGTAGTCACTCGACATACATCAAATGTAACAACAGCGATTTGTATACATTTATAAAGCAGTTCTTTTCATAAGCCTATTCAAGATTCCATACAATATCTTAGTTAGCCTGATTTTGTTCTATATCAACTATAAAAAATTTTGCTGAAATAAAGTTTATCTCAATTAATATCAAATTCGCCGCAGTCATAGCAAATTTGAAGGCTGTAGCTGAGTTCACTGCTGAGTTCACATAGGTTTTCACTCAGATCCATGGAGGTTAGGCATATTTCAGCTTCAGATTTCGGCCTGTCGAGTAAATCAGTTGCCTAACTACATGGCTGCATGTGCTATGTAAAGTTTATGTGACTAACAGATACCCTCTAATATATATCTACCTCAACTATAAATCAAGTTAAATATTTCTGCTGAGCAAATTTGTAGACCGAAATTGTGGGGCATTTGTTCAGTCACTCGTTTTTGACCTAATTCAATATTTGATTTATTTGTAATCAAATCAGAGTCGAAGCTGTTGTTCATCTGAAATCGGAAAACTGCATTTCCCAGTTTAACAAATCAAAAATTAAATTGATAATTTACTCGACGTCTTCGAAATTATTTGGCCTTGACTGCTTGGCAGCGACTTTGCTTGAATTTTGTATATTTTATGAAAATTTAAATATGTTTTCAAATGTTTTCTCTATATACCCTCAAGCTATTTAAAATGAATAAATAGGGTATCTTGATTTTGTGCAGACGTATGCAACAGGCAGCAGGAGATGTGGTCTCTTGCGGAGGAAACGTCAAAGAATGAGAAGCGAACTTCGTCTGTCCGTTCGTCCGTATGTGACATAACTTGAGGACCACAAAAGCCATGTTTAGTCTGAAGATGTCCTTGATGACTCGAACCGTCTTCAGGGTATTTACAGGTCAGGCACTCCTGATACTTTGACTTGTTAGCCCAAATAGTTTAAGCTTTGTAAATATCAAAGGAGCTGAGGAATGATTATAATAATTTACACTAATATTTCCAATTGCAATGCAAGGCTCAATCCATACAATGAATTCCCTCTTATAGATCCCAAAGACGTAACACACAGACAACCTAACCTAAGCATATCTAAGACACTCTGAAAACTTAACCCTCTCTCTCACTCTTTGTCTCTTGCTCTCTCCCTTTTGCAGCACTCCTAAGCCTAGGCCTTGTCTCTGCACTGCTCTCGCTATCGTCAGTGACCTGGGCTAGCATTACAGCCAGTGTGGAGCAGTCAAAGTCGGCCATAAAGGCCAGTGTTGGACAGCGCCAAGCGATGCTCAAGCTCAGCAGCACTGCGATGGAGAGTGAACTAGACGCTAAGCTGATTGCCATAGATACGGGCATACTGCTGCCCGACGACAAGGACAACTGCCCGGCCGGCTACTTCCACTGCAATACAACGGCGCAGTGTGTGCCGCAGCGTGCCAACTGTGATGGCAGAGTCGATTGCGATGATGACTCGGACGAGCAGAATTGTGTGAATAACTTTGAGGCCAAGTACTGGGATCATTTGTTTCGCAAAAACTCGTTCGGACGTCAGGGCATGGATGATAAACCGATTGGCGAGTGCTGTGAGTATTCAATAGATGTCTATACGCTACGCTGGATGTGCGCAGCGACAAGGTCGAAGTAATTAACAGTCGACAGCACTGTGCAAGTGGCGCCAGCCAGCGGACGGTAGTCGTAACATCCCACTCCCTCTCCTCTCCCCTTCTGACGCTGCTTCTATTATAATAATAGAAATCCGCATGTAAATTTTTTGCATTCAGTTTTTCATGCGTTTAATTAAAAGACTCGAATGACAATTATCCTTGATGCGCATATCAAATGTAATGGCCACAGTGAAGACTCATTAAAAGCGATTTCTCATTCTTTCGATGCACTTGCAGCATGGCCGAATGCGAAGAACTTCAGCTGCCCATGTCGCGGCAATGAGATGCTGTGCCGCTTCCAGCAGCTCACGGCGCTGCCCCTCCAGCTGCCCAGCAACAATCTGGAAACACTGTAAGTATGGAGATACTCTAGTTAATGTTGGCATCGTATGGCAACCTAAAGACACAATCAGTTTGGTGAAAAGCAATTCTTCTAGCATGCCTTTGCACATACAGTGTTGGTTAACAGCAAAAACAACAAAAGATTAACAAACTAAAAGTTAATGAATATTATTTTCATGCTTCATTTTGCTATATCTACTACAGGCTTTCTATATCTTATATCGTATATCCTAACTGATTGCCTAGCAAAGCTTTCCTAGACAGCAATTGCAGCTAGTGAAACTCAGATTCAGATCAGCAATTCCCAAAAGCTTAAAGCTTGACCTTCTCTTTAGATTAGATTAGAGCTAGGTATACAATACTCTAGTGAAATAATTCTTTTTTATATATATTTAGCTATGCTTGTAGAGTAGCATATAAATTGCCAGAGCACTTACTTTTCATGCTGTTTCTCATGCGTCTCACGCTTCTGCTCTTCAGGTTGGCCTACAGTTTGCCCAATTTCTCTCGGTGTATTTAGTATTTACCTTGATTGCTTTTGATGGCATTTGATTCGCGTCTCATTTGTTTTTATTTCCAGCGACCTCACGGGCAACAATTTTGGCCTCATCGACGCGAACTTCTTCAGCGCCCTGCCCGAGGTGGAGAGCCTGTAAGTATTTGTAAAGGATTTTCAGCTCGTTAAGTATCGAAATTCAAGCAACGTCAAGCCAACTGCGAATACAACTCGAAATTTGCAAATGGGTCCTTCCTCCTGGGAAAATATTCTATTAGCGTCGCTCGCTGTACTTAAAGCAGCCAGAGACACCCCATTCAATAGCTGGCAGCTGAGCGGGTATGGGCGGCATGTTGTGGGGGAAGGCTATGTTCTGGCATGGCAGACAGCTCGTATCGTGTTTTGCAGGCACTTGCAGTTTATGTGGAGCTCTGCTAAAGGACACTTCTACGACCACGGCACAAGCCGTAAAATCGTTTTAACATACGACAAAATGTGCCTCGCTTCGTTAGCACTGCAAGAAATAGCCCAAGAAATACCCGAAAATTTAGCCACAAATGAAATTACGGAGAAGCTGTTATCAAATTTATTTACTGGAAGTGGAAATCTAATATGTCCCAGCGCAGAGCTAGAGACAGGGCGGAGCGTGGGAGCGAAGCCAGTAGAATTCCGTCACATAATATAAAACTGTTCGAGTGTAACTGATATAAGTAACTGTTTATTATTTTGAATTTGGAATAGAGGAATTGGAGAGTTCTGAAGCGATGCGAGAGAGGTAGGGGAAGGTTAGAGCTGTGAGCGAGGATCGAATATATATATTGAAAAGGGGAAAGCAAGCGAGAAATTGGAGCTAGAGATAACTAGAGGAAAGTGAGAAAGTAAAAAGAGATAGAGGAAGAATAGAAGAAAATGAGAGACAGAAAGAGAGAGAGAGAGAGATGTGGAGACATCATAGAATGTAATGGCAGACAGAGAGATAGTTTGTGAAACGGAGAGAGAGAGAGTGAAAGAAAGACTTTCTGTCCCAAAGAAAGAAAGAAAAAGAATGTGAGAGACGGAGAGAGAGAGATGTGGAGACATAGTGCGAATCATAGAATGTAATGGCAGACAGAGAGATAGGTTGTGAAACGGAGAGAGAGTGAGAGAGTGAAAGAAAGACTTTCTGTCCCAAAGAAAGAAAGAAAAAGAATGTGAGAGACGGAGAGACAGAGAGAGTGTAAGATAAAGATTGCCAGAGAGATATACAGAGAGACAGAGAAAAAGGAAAGGGGAAAGAAGGCAGTCAGATGGAGGTGATGTATGTAAGTTTCTCGCCTCGCAAAGGTAAATGCCAAAGCGTATTCATTCAATTCCTTGAAGCATCTGCGCCTTTCGCTCAGTGCAGCTGTCGTTGATTCATTTGCTATGGCCTACGATGCCGGACTTTGTAGTTAATGGTTTCGGTCGTCTGTTGCCACGACTATATTGCCTATTGGCCACATTGCTTAAGCCTAAGCACTTGGAAATCCATCACCGGGAGAGCTTATGCCTGGGCACATATGTGAGATGCTTTAGCTAAGATGCCGACTTTATACTCCCTCCTTCCTTTTGAATGACAGCTGCCTGAGCCGCTGTCGTTTTTTTTGAAACTGACAAATTCCTGCAACGCCCTAATTATATCGCCCGGGACTATCAAATTGAAGGAGACAAAGACGCCGCGACACCCAACTCGGTGCCTTCGAGGCGGCTGTCAGAGTACGTGGGCGATGGACATGCGTGAAAATTAAATTGACCGTAGGCTGTCAGAGTGAGCAAAACAATGTCAAAAGTGCGTGGGAGTTAACAGTGAGCGGTGATTGTAAATAAATAATGCCGCCTAGCAGATACCCTGTACAAAGTTGTAGAGCATCTGTGCTCTTAGCTGCTTGGGAACTAAGAAGCAAATGAAACTATATAAAAAGTTTTGCTCTAAGGGCAAATATAAATATATATAAATATAAAAAATATAAACGCGAATTTAAGATACCCTAAATAATAAATATTCTACAGAGTGTCTTAGAGAATACCCCAGGTTAAGGAAAACCCTGAGATAAGCTGCAATTATAACTTGAAGTTATGTGTAGCGAAGATGCGATACGATTCAGATCAAGTGTCCTCAACTTAAGATTATCATTGAGAGTACACCAAGTGATATACACCCTCCAGAGCGTCACAGAGAGTACCCAACACTAATAGAAAAGTTTAGACATCCTAAGAGTATCCATCGCACAATGAACGTGCCAAAAGATAACTAAGCTATTCAGATGAAACTATTTGTGGCTTTGTCTCTTCACTGAACTCACGTAAGCAAAGTTTTTCTCAGTGGTAATTGAATATAACTGAATTTACCAGTTCAGAGAGCTGGGGGGAGGGCTGCTTCCTGTTGCACTCCTCGACTCACGCTTCGACAATTTTGTGGCTAGGCATAATAAGAGATAAACAAAAGTTCCTCGCCTTTCTTAATGCAAACTTTGCTTTTGTCCGTACGCAACTTTCATCGTCCCATTTCCATCGGGGAGACGCAAAACTTGACAATTGAATTTCGAATTTATTAAGTTTTATTCATTGTTTCGATGCCTGTGACGTAACTCTATATGAATATAATAAGACATGCCTTAAGTATATGCCTATATATCTATATATATATATATATATTTATATATATCTCTATCTGTATGCCTACTCTATCTCTATCTCTATCTCTATCTCTATCTCTATCTCTATCTCTATCTCTATCTCTATCTCTATCTCTATCTCTATCTCTATCTCTATCTCTATCTCTATCTCTATCTCTATCTCTATCTCTATCTCTATCTCTATCTCTATCTCTATCTCTATCTCTATCTCTATCTCTATCTCTATCTCTATCTCTATCTCTATCTCTATCTCTATCTCTATCTCTATCTCTATCTCTATCTCTATCTCTATCTCTATCTCTATCTCTATCTCTATCTCTATCTCTATCTCTATCTCTATCTCTATCTCTATCTCTATCTCTATCTCTATCTCTATCTCTATCTCTATCTCTATCTCTATCTCTATCTCTATCTCTATCTCTATCTCTATCTCTATCTCTATCTCTATCTCTATCTCTATCTCTATCTCTATCTCTATCTCTATCTCTATCTCTATCTCTATCTCTATCTCTATCTCTATCTCTATCTCTATCTCTATCTCTATCTCTATCTCTATCTCTATCTCTATCTCTATCTCTATCTCTATCTCTATCTCTATCTCTATCTCTATCTCTATCTCTATCTCTATCTCTATCTCTATCTCTATCTCTATCTCTATCTCTATCTCTATCTCTATCTCTATCTCTATCTCTATCTCTATCTCTATCTCTATCTCTATCTCTATCTCTATCTCTATCTCTATCTCTATCTCTATCTCTATCTCTATCTCTATCTCTATCTCTATCTCTATCTCTATCTCTATCTCTATCTCTATCTCTATCTCTATCTCTATCTCTATCTCTATCTCTATCTCTATCTCTATCTCTATCTCTATCTCTATCTCTATCTCTATCTCTATCTCTATCTCTATCTCTATCTCTATCTCTATCTCTATCTCTATCTCTATCTCTATCTCTATCTCTATCTCTATCTCTATCTCTATCTCTATCTCTATCTCTATCTCTATCTCTATCTCTATCTCTATCTCTATCTCTATCTCTATCTCTATCTCTATCTCTATCTCTATCTCTATCTCTATCTCTATCTCTATCTCTATCTCTATCTCTATCTCTATCTCTATCTCTATCTCTATCTCTATCTCTATCTCTATCTCTATCTCTATCTCTATCTCTATCTCTATCTCTATCTCTATCTCTATCTCTATCTCTATCTCTATCTCTATCTCTATCTCTATCTCTATCTCTATCTCTATCTCTATCTCTATCTCTATCTCTATCTCTATCTCTATCTCTATCTCTATCTCTATCTCTATCTCTATCTCTATCTCTACCTCTATATTGAATTGCATCTTTAACTATATCTTTTCTCCCCTCTCCTTATGCAGGGTTCTCAAGTTTTGCACAATCCGTGAGATAGACTCGCATGCCTTGGACAGACTGGCCGCCATTCCGCTAAAGACACTGTAAGTAGATGTTCGTGATGTGGTTGGGGCTGCTGGTTCCACTTTTGGTTGGGGCATAACTCTTAATTAGGTCTTATTATTAATGTGTTCTTAATTTATTTGCTGCTGTTGCTGCCGCTGCGGCGCTCGCCTTTCAAATTGGCCCTGGACCTGGCCCTGGCGCACTGTTTTTATATTCGATTCTTTCTCTGCCACATCAATATTTTCTCCTGCTTTTTACTCACTGTTCTCCTTCTTGTTTTTCGGTTTTTGTCCTTCTGTTTTCCAGTTATATGGACGATAATGAATTATCGCGTTTGCCCGAACACTTCTTTGCGCCGGGCAATCAATTGCGCATTTTGTAAGTATTATTAACTATTTTATTGCAATGAGTCGCATAATTAACTGTTAAGTGGCGCCGCCTTTAGTCACATTTTATGCTTCATTTACCGCTATGCTTTGGGGGTTGTTGTAAAGGGTGAGAGAGACAGAGGCAGAGAGAGAGAGAGAAATACAGAGCTTAAGTATTTTTTGGACTTGGCTAAAGATAAACTAATTTTATATTGCATATTTAACTCATCTTCAGTTCTTGACCGCCTTAGGGCCTTAGTCAAGGCAAAAGCTTGTCGCATGACACCAAAGTTGAGTTGATTCCAAATTTAGGCTTATTTTCACACTGTTTGTAGCTTGAAATAGGTCCAACAGGCTACACTTTGAGTGACGAGCTCTGCACATTCTAGACATTTTATGACAGCTAGTTATTGTAGTTAACCGATGCATCTAATGCTTGCTTAAGTTTCCCAATCAGCTGCAGCAAGTTTCATGAATGTAGCTGTGCCAACAGCTGAGTTCACATAGGAGACAATTTTCTATATATCAATTGAATTTCTTTTGTAGTACGATAGTTATTATAGCATAAAAATCTTGCTTTACTGCCTTTCATCAACTCCAGTGAGCTTTAGCCTGTGCCTTCTATGAAGGCGCTGGAATATTGCGCATACGCCGCGTGCGCCGCTCTCAATTTCTAAATGTTTAAAGACTTAATTATTTATTATTTATATTGATTACTTGTAAAGAAAAAAACTGCCTTGGCTTGTTTATTATAGCTGATATTTGCCTGTTGGTTAGAAAAATATTTCGATTTTTTTTCAAAATATTTCTGTTAATAAATTTTGCTGCATTAACTGTTTATGTGGCAGTTCGCTTATGAAATTTGCATAAATTGAAATTAAAACAAGCAACAATGTTGCAGTCGGGCGTCTGCGACTGCATAATACTCTTGCTCTAGCTTATGACGAAATGTGCACTTACTCAAATTTCAATATTGCGAAGCTCTAGCTTCATATATATATGTATATATATACGCTGCCAGCAGATATATAGTATTGTATATAGTATGTGATATATCTATATATATATATGAAAAGTTTTTAGAAGCCAATATACCCCTTTCATTACATGTGCAGCAGCCAGTCGAATGCCCAATTACTCTTATTTATAAAAAAAAATAATAGGGGTAGTCCTTTGCATTATATTAGCTAAGCTGGGGCTTTACCCATGAAACATCTATTTGAATTTACAAATTCCTGTTTATGCACATGTTTTTATTATTTTTACATATATTTTTTTTATTAAATTTAATATTTTATTGATAAAATTTTACTTTGAAGTGAGTGGAAAATATTTAAAGTTTTGTTGTTCAGTTTGTGCAGCTTGTTTAAGCTTTGCCCCAGCCCTGCTGCTGCCTTGTAATTTGGTCGCCATCGATGCAGCGATAAACGCTTCTCATAATTACTTCCAAACTTATAGTTTTGTGCGCAACTGTACCTGTGGGATAGGATCAAAAATTCTGAGCGTGCCTAAAATATTTTTTATTTTTTTTTGCTTTGTCAGAGTTGAGGGCGACAAAAGTGCTTATTAACGCAACTGGCCTGAGGTGAAACGACCTACAAAAAAAGTCTGTAATTGCCAATAACTATATAGTAGATAAGGGCACACACACACACACATACACAGCAACAGACCAACACGCCAACACACACGCCCACACATGCAGCGAGGCTATTGCACAGAGGCGCACAGAGGACAGTTATGTGCACTCACAATTGTTGATTGTATCATCATTTCTGTGTATGAGTGTGTGGGTGTGTAGATGAATGCCAGCTGATAATAAGCGTGTGTGTGTGTGTGTGTATGTGTGTGTGCTGCAGCCATTGTTGCGTATACGCAACGCCTGCCAGTTGGGGCCATAAAGTGAGCCATTGTTTGGCCTCGGCTGACGGTTTATTTTCGGGCGGAGGAGCTTAGCAGCTATACAATAAATATATTAGCACACACACACGCACACTCACACGCATACAGAGGCTGCAAAGTTCTGTGGGCGTGGCAGTTCCGGTCTGAGCAGTCGACTACAAAAAAAAACTTAAAAGGGAAGCAGAAGAAGCAGCCAGCTGCAGCCGGCGACAACAGAAAACTAAAGCGGAAAACAAAACAAAAACACATAAACAACTCAGTTACACTTTGCACACCCTACAAATTGATGGGGGGAGACGGGTAGGGGCAGCTTGGCATTGGCTAGTTGGTTTGACTGCAACGGAATCACAGCTGCTGCTGTTGCGGCAAGCCAAGGCTGTAGGGCGCAGCGAACAGAGTTGCATTTAATGGCTTATTAAGTTGCTCTCTAGGTGTCTCTCTGTCCGTCCGTCTGTCTACGTCTCTGTTTCTGTCTATGCGCTAACTTTTTATGGCCTAAAACAGGGTACTACACATGTCACATGAAATGTGTCGCGCCGAGCAATTCACGTTTGCCAGGAGCTTGCTTGACGGAAACTGTTCTCATGCTACCTTTTATCATTGTAGCTAGGCACTAAATACCCCAGCAAATTGCCCATAAAAATAGTGGTATTTTAGTATGTATACGCCCCTTGTGGGCGTGGCAAGTGCAATTAAAATGTGGCATATACTGTCTTGGAAACCATTCAGTAAGTGAGCCAAGTAATCCTTTGACTATGGCATATCAATCCAGGGCCAAGCTGAGAAGATACTATTTCCGATAACAGCAGCTGTGTGGGTTATCGATAACAAACGACAGTTGCATTATTCAATGAGATGTGCCATTTGATCTTGAATTGCCTTAAGTCTGCCTTAGGTGAAGTATCCTCAGCATGGCCCAAATGCGTAGACAATTCGTGGCTTGAGCATGACTGAAATCCTTTGAGATCTTGAGTCTTAAGTGAAGAGCACATAGTCGGGAATAACCGATATAATCGATAAATAAATTGAAACTGGAAACGCACTAATATTTCCAAAGTATTAGAGAACTTAGAGCACATAGAGCTGCTATGCTTGGCTTTGGTTAGCTGCTTTGAATATCAAAAATTGTGTGTATTATAATAGAGTATTTGGCGTTCGGTGCCTTTCGTAGTCTCTGCCTTTGCGCATTAAAAAACAATTTTTGGTGAAATGTTTCAGGATTTTGGCACGCAATCAACTGAGCAGCCTAAGCAGCAATAATTTTCGCTACCTACAGCAATTGGTGGAACTGTAAGTAAAGCCCATTTGCTAATCATATTAAAACTTGAATTACTTTTGCTCCACAGCGATCTGAGGGGCAATTTGATAGCAAACTTTGGCTCGCAGGTTTTTGCACAGCTGCACAGCTTGGAGGTGCTGTAAGTAGCATTGAAACGATGCTAAGATCTGAGCTATATAGATAACACTAATCGTCACCCCCCCTCCGCCCCGTCTCCTTCTACTCCAACTCCCCCACCTGCACAGCTATTTGAACAACAATCGTCTGCAGCAGCTACATTTGGGCATGTTTCCTAGCAACTTGCTCCATTTGCAGACTTTGTCCTTGGCGCACAATCAAATTGCGAGCATTGAGCCGAACACGTTCACATTTCCACAGCTTCGACACTTGTAAGTATTCCTCACAGGGGTTACCTAGTGGGGGAATGGGGCATGGGGCGTGTCCCCTTCGCAGCGCTAACATTTTACGCATTTTTGTGGCTTTTTGCAGATTTTTAGCTGGAAATCAATTGTCTTACATACGCGAAGGAACCTTTTGCAATCTCAGCTATCTGCAAGGACTGTAAGTCACAAAGGAAACAAACAAGGCAAAGGAACCGAAAAGGTTCCCTTTGCAGCTCAGCCAAAATGTCGACGAGGCATATACCCTGTTTGTGTGTTAGCTGTGTGGTATAGTTAAAGCTCTGCTGGTATTGCGACTGCAAAGCTAGTTGAGAGTTTTCTAAATGCCTAGGAAAAGATGACAGACTGGGCATATACCCTGTAAAGGGGCAATTATACATAAACTTTTATTTATTCCTTAACTTCTCTACTCATGAGTTACAAACGGCTGTGCCTCTCTCTCTCTTTGTAGACAATATGACAGACAGAGCTATACCCTGTAATTGAAGAAACTGCTATTTGATGCGGTTCCAATAGCTTTATTTATAAGTAAAAAGCATATACACAGCATAGTTTGCTGCAGCTCTGTCAACAAGTATGATAGACTACTACATACCCTGTAAATTGGCATGGTTCAATTCGATTTTAAACAGGCTTGCCTTTACATAAGCTAAGAATATATGTTTCTGATAAGCATCGCTTAGGCTAAGCCTACGCAAATAATAGACTAGCCATATACCCTGTAATTGGAAAAGCTAGTTCGCTTCGAGATGATGCGAAGTTTCCCTATCAGCTAAAACAATGTTCTACAAGCTCTAATTGGATTCTCATATGATAGCATAGGCATATAGCCTATTTGCTGACAGACCCGGCATATACCCTGTAATTGTCTAAAGATTATTCAAATATATATAGTCCAGCATGGCCTTGCTTCACATCTTCTACAGGGTATTGGCGCGCAAAATATGTTGTCGGGCCCCGGGAGAAGGCGAAGCTGCTGATAGCCACATAAAAATGTGTCGCGGCTTATCTTGCCCATTGAGCTTTTCCAATTTGCTTAGGCTTAACCACAAAAAAGAATTGGGCACAAAGGGCCGTGGAATGAGAGAGAGGGGCAGGCGAGCTGGGTGGGCAACGAAGGGTTTGCTTTGTGGCTTCATGCCGAGGAATTTCATTTATCAATAACGACTGACAAAAGGCACGCGGCAGACGCATCAACTGGAATGCCAAAGGAAAAGAGAAAATGGGGAAAATATTTGAAAAATAAAATAAGCCAACTTAAGTTAAGCTAAGCTCGAGTCTGGCTTTGGTTCTAATGCATATTGAATAACAAGCAGCAAATGATAAAACTTTAATGACAAAACTTCAAGAAAACTTGCCTTGCACGCCGAAGCCAGGGGCTTCTCTCTATTAGCCACCCACACACAGACAGACACGGACAGAGATTAACCTTTGCATCAATATTCTGCAGGCATTTGAATGAGAATCAAATCGAGAAGTTCGATTTGCACGCCTTCGACTGCCTGGAAAATCTAAACTCTCTGCTGCTAAACGGCAATCGCTTCAAGACCCTCCAGCCGGCTGTGCTGCAAAATCTGACCAATCTGGACTTTATGTAAGTATCAAATCAATACCCAGTAATGGCCCATAAGCAGGCTAATGCTCTGTGCGCAGCATATAAATGGGGTATATGCAGTATATATATATATAGCATATATGTATATCTGTCATTTATTTCCATACAGATAATATACAGTTTTAAAGTCACTTTGACATTAAATTTGATGAGTCGCCATAGTTTATGAGCCGAAACTGAAGATGCTTTTGCAAGCTTAACAAATCTACAGTTTTGAGTGTACTGTGCATGTTACAGTTTCAGAGTCCTTATTTTGAAAAAATGTTCAAGCAGACACAGTTACTAATGAAAATACAAAGTGCTTAACACAGTTTTAGAGTCATTTTACATTTACGGTTTGAGTGTCCGATCACTAAGACTAGAAAACGTCTTATGAAACCTGCTCTAGTTTGGTAAATATCATCAGTTTCTAGTCTTACAGTTTGAATACCATTCAATGCTTACAGTTTGAGAGTCCAAACAGTATTTTGTCAAAAGCATATCTCTCACAGAAGCAATATATTCGACTCATTGCTAAGGAATCCGCAAAGCACGACTTCGCACAGTTTGAGAGCCACTGAGGTAATCAAGAGCACACGCGTCTCGAACGCTAGCTGAACTGTGTGCAGAGCATGGCACAGTCGACTTAAGCACAATATTCCTGCTTCTGTTGGCAATTGCCAAATCTCTTTTCTCTCCTGCTCTCCCTCTCTCGCCGTCTCACTTTATCTCTGTCTTTTTTCAGCTACTTCTCGTGGTTTCATTTGTGTCGCGCCGCGTTGCATGTGCGCGTTTGCGATCCCCGCGGCGATGGCATCAGCAGCACCTTCCATCTGCTCGATAATCAGTTGCTGCGCGGCAGGTAAGTGTCCTATGCCACCTCTCTCAGCCTCCAGCCCCTGGTCCTGCTCCAGCTCCTGCTCCTTGCTCGCTTCGGCTAATCCTTTGCTGCAACTGACGACATTCGCCTTCCAGTTTATGTTTATGTTTACTGTTTACCATTTGGACTCTGTTTATGCTTTTGCATATTCTTTTCGCAGTCCCCTCATATTACAGCTACTAAATATACCCTGTAACCAGCTTAATTGAGTGGAAGAGACGCATAGACAGAGGAACAGTCTGAAACATTTGGCTCAAGCGACTTGGCTTTTCGATGTAATAGATTCTTTGAGCTGGCTTGACTGAATTATCTTAGCTCATTATACCCTATTTCGGCCGTTTGCAATGGGTATAGGCTATACTAGTTATATCTAATACATATGCAGAGTACTTTGTAAAGCAGCTGCAAGTGCAAACTGTTGAACAAGCGTAAACAAGCGTTTTACAACACTTAACTGGATTGATATGAAAAAAATTGGGGGGAGAAGAGAGGGCGGGAGAGGCAGACCTAAAAGTGGGAGAGGTCACAGATGGAATAGAAATGGGAGAGAGAGAAAAGAGCGAGAGCGATGAGAGACAGAAGAGATAAAAGATATAAGATATAAGATATAAGATATAAGATATAAGATATAAGATATAAGATATAAGATATAAGAGATAAGAGATAAGAGATAGATAAGAAAGAGATCATCAGATCAGATCAGACAAATATATTATAAATAGAGAGAGAGAGGCAAGAGTTGATACCAATAGAAAACTGGAAGAAAAAAACCAAAAAGTGGAAGAGGTGAGAGATGGAAGAGAAATGGAAGACAGAGAAATGAGCGAGAGCGATGAGAGACAGAAGAGATAAAAGATATAAGATATAAGAGAAGAGATAAGAGATAAGAGAGAGATCATCAGATCAGATCAGACAAATATATTATAAATAGAGAGAGAGAGGCAAGAGTTGATACCAATAGAAAACTGGAAGAAAAAAACCAAAAAGTGGAAGAGGTGAGAGATGGAAGAGAAATGGAAGACAGAGAAATGAGCGAGAGCGATGAGAGACAGAAGAGATAAAAGATATAAGATATAAGAGATAAGAGATAAGAGAGAGATCATCAGATCAGACCAGACAAATATATTATAAAGAGAGAGAGAGACGCAAGAGTTGATACTAATAGAAAACTGGACGAAAAGACCTAAAAGTGGAAGAGGTGAGAGATGGAAGAGAAATGGAAGACAGAGAAATGAGCGAGAGCGATGAGAGACAGAAGAGATAAGAGATAAGAGATAAGAGAGAGATCATCAGATCAGATCAGACAAATATATTATAAAGAGAGAGGCAAGAGTTGATACCAATAAAAAACTGGACGAAAAGACCTAAAAGTGAAAGAGGTGAGAGATGGAAGAGAAATGGTAGAGCGAGAGCAATGAGAGACAGAAGAGATAAAAGAAGATATAAGAGATAAGAGATAAGAGATATCATCAGATCAGACCAGACAAACATATTACAAATAGAGAGAGACGCAAGAGTTGATACCAATAGAAAACTGGACGAAAAGATTTATTTTTAATATATATTGTTTCGCCTCAATTTTTGTATTTGAATTTTAGATTGCGTGGCTGTGGTATTTTTTAGATCTTTTACATGGCTGCTCGCATGACAGCTCGTATAGCCTCTGTTAGTACAGTCAGTTGTATAGGGCGCGACGCAGGCGCTCGCGCAGCACCAGCAAACGCATTTGATGCTGATGATCGGTGCTGCCTAGCGGAGCGGCGGAGGGCGGCTCCGCCATTAGGCCATTCCGGCCGGCACATGGCACGCCTCCGCCTCGATTGCGCACTACCAGATCCAGATCGACGATGGGGCTAGTCTCCTGACCTTGGCGCTGGTACTCAAAATGCATGCTGACTTCTCGTATGTTTGCAAATTTTGGACTATTTCTCACGACGTGTTTATTTTTTTTTTGTTTTTTTTTTTTTTTTCTGAGTTATGTTACTAAGCTGCGACAATTTATAAATAAGAATGCGAACTGAGCTTCGCTCCACAATTGACTAACATTCCTGACAACCTAACCCAGGCACACAGTTTGAGCATGTGACGCATGTCTCTCAGTCGAGTCGATCGAACCAGGTTCGTCTAACACTCCGTGTGTATGTTCGCTTGTCCGACTGATGTCCGTCTGTAACTCTGTCCTGTCTGTCCATCTGTCTGTTTGTCTGTCCTTCTGTCTGTCTGTCCTTCTGCCCTGTCATCTGCTCTACCATCTGAGCGTCTATCAATCTGTCTGTTCCTCTGTCTGTCGATCTGTTCGGTCATCTGTTCGTCCGTCCTTCCGTCCGTCCTTCTGTGCATCTTCCGTTTGTCCTTCTGTCAGTCCGTCTGTTCGTCCATCTGCTCTGCCGCCTGTCTTTCCCCTTTAAGGAGGCTTTTAAAGCTTTTTCAGGTTCTCAAATATATTGCAGATATTTTCTGAGCCCCTTTGATGACTAGTGGAAACTTTTTAGGCTCGTCGTGAGTTTAAATTGGTTTTGCAAAATGTTTATTCTAGAGACTTGAGAATTGCACTATCCTTGCTCAACGGAGCTGTCAGATGCGGAATACAAACGACAATTTCATAGCTGATCCCTGATGAGATGCTGTTGATCTTCTCTATGGATTGACTCCTAGGCAAATCTGACTATGTCTAAGCCACATCTACTTGAACGAGCATTATGCAGCCGTTTCTACCCGACTGCAGAGTGCTAACTTTGTTTTTCTTACATTTAGGAGAGGGTGCAAACGTCTTTTCCATTTGGCATTTTTCATTTTCATCTGGGAAAAGCAACCGACAGCAGGCAGCAGTCGGCAGTCGGCAGTCAGCACTTGTCATCGGCTGCTAACTGGGCTGAGTGATTATCCGGCTGCTGTCTGTTTGTTGAGGGTGTGAGAGATGATGCTAAGTGCCCCGCCCCTTTGTTTGTGCCAAGTGAAAATGAAAATTACGTTTTTCCTTGAGGTCTCCCCACATCTAGCCATCTATCTATCTATCCATACACGTTTGCTTGTTTGTTTGTTTTGCTTGCATTTACACGCTCTGCGTGCTGTCGGAGTTTTCCGAGTGCTACCCACTCTAAACCCTTTTCCACCCTTTCAAGCCCTCAGCAGCCAGCCCAGCGTATGCTTAATGTAAGTTTCAGCATGTGTTTGAGCATACTCATTCGAATCTACTCATTCAACTGCTGCTCGGCTCTGCCGTTCGTCTAAGCTGCAGGGCAAATATTAACAGCTAGTCGCACCCTTCATCTGCCCCTCTGAGTGTGGAGTGTGGCTGAGTCCCTCTGGATGCCTGCACGGCGCGCAGCCTGGCTGGCATGTGCCAGTTACATTATCATATTATTTTTAGTTGACGCTTTCATAAAAATTAAATACTTTTTCACAGTTCTTTGTTCGCTCCGCGCTCCACCTGCTGCCTCAGTGCTTAAAGCGTTATTTGAGCACATGTGAAAACCTTTTCGGCAACTTGTAGCAGCAAATGCCACACGTCTCCGGTTGCCAACTGTTGCCACACAGCCACCCGCACAAAATATATATAGGCCTTAAAAGTATTCTATAACAGTTTCAAAACTCAACTATAGTTTATTAACTAGCACTTTTAGCCTCTTGTCAAAGTTGGCTAAGTTTAGCTGTCTTCATTTAAAGCTTGAAGAAGGCTTTAAAATTTACACAAACCCTGATTTGGGTTGGTTAGGGCATAGTTGACTAGCAGTTAGCATCAAATGTGTGCCTTGCGCTTCCGAAATGAGTTTCTTATCGGGAGTAGTCGACTGGCATATACCCTGAGCACCAGTCCTTGCCATTTTGAATGAGTCTGGGGCAAGGTAAGCAAACTGATGACTGGATTGTTGGCATGCCTCTGCTCATCCCTTTGTCCCTGGAAATTGTCTATACAATTTGTTTATTTGATAGCTGTAATCTAGTTAAAGAAACTCGACTCAAGGCTAAACTAATTACTTGCAAATGGCATTCACATAAGACAGAGGCTTGTTTCCGTGATGCCTGTTAACGCTAAAGCTGGCAGCGACAACTTTAAGCAAGTGTCATTCGATCATAATTCCATGCAAACTCTGCCTGCCTGTGGGCTTTAGCTTTAAGCCAACAAGTTGATATGATTTCTGGCTTCCGTGCGTAACTAGAAGGAAATGTTTGTCGAGCAAATGAATGGAAACGGGCATAAATTACAGTGATTTTATGATAACTGTGTCCCGACCCCGTCCCACCTCCAATGGGCAATCAAATCAAAAGTAAAGGCAAAGCATTCGCAATTGTCACAAACAGTCGTGGGCTGCCTGTGCCAAGCGAATCCTAATTTCAGCACCAACTATGACTGCAATAATGAGCACCTATTCGACCACACCCGCACCCGCACACACACACACACACACATCCATGGCACACAGCTAATTGGCCAATAGCATTCAGCAGAAGTCGCCTTTGTGTGGCTTTTGCCACTTAAATTTCCTTTAATTGCCCAAAAGCTATGCCAATTGATATTCCATTCGCATACGCAGTAGGACAACTTACCCCCCCCCCTCTCTCTCTCTCTCTCTCTCTCTCTCTCTTACTCATTAAGTTCTCTTTCTATTTATATTCAATTACTCACAATCCATAATTCCTGGAATATATAAAATAATTGAACTACCTCTAACAACGACTTGCTCAAGCAATCCATAAAGCTAATTAAATTTAAATTTAACATTAGCTTTTAACGTTCAGTCAATCAATCAGTCAGTCAGCCAGTTACTCAATCAAGAACAACTCTTTCAACTATACCTAGACATTGTTTTAGAGCTAGCTCTCTTTTTACATTGCCTTAAGATAGGTCAATCAATCAATCAATCACCTCTGCAGTTATTTTCAATAGTTTCTCCACCCACAACCTACTGTTCTTCAAATAGTCGCTCAATCAGTCAATCAACTCTAAAAACTCTTTCAGGTATTAATAGTTTCCTTTGACAGGCTGAGCACTGCTCATCAATCAATTCATCAGCTAATCAGAGGCAACTTTTGTTTAACAATTCCACTTCTTTGTGCGTTATTCGTCAATCAAGCAATCAGTCAGTCATTAGCTTTAACAGGCAGACAAATGTATTCAGTTAGTCACCAGTCAATCAATCATAAGCTTTTGTATTTATACATAATTTTATATCGTCAATCAGTCATTCAGTCATTCAATCAATCACTCACTAAAACCCTCCTTGATCTCTATAGATTCGTTGTTTCAGCTATGCATAGCGCTTTCAAGCTCTGTGCTATTCATGCACAAATTGTTCAATCAATCGATTGACTGATTGATTGCTCAGTTCTATTAATTCACTGCTCTATTCTGCCTCCACTTTCCACAGCGTTTGGATCATGGCTTCGATTGCTGTGGTGGGCAATCTACTCGTTTTGGCCGGACGCTATTTCTACAAGTCGCGCAGCAATGTGGAGCATTCGCTCTACTTGCGCCACCTGGCGGCCAGTGACTTCCTAATGGGCATCTACCTGACGCTTATTGCATGCGCCGACATCAGCTTCCGGGGGCAGTACATACGACACGAGGAGTCCTGGCGGCACAGCGAGCTCTGCGCCTTTGCGGGTGGGTGTGCCCCGAGAGCAGCCCGGTCTAGCTGCACTCTGATATGTATTCTACAACTAACTGTATTTTGCACTATTTGCAGGCTTTCTGAGCACCTTCAGCTGTCAGTCGTCGACGCTGCTGCTCACGCTCGTCACCTGGGATCGTCTGATGTCGGTCACAAGACCTCTAAAGCCACGCGACACGGAAAAAGTTAGGTAACTTCACGTTGACATTTGGCAACACTATTGAGTAGTGTTGTAAAGCAATCTGGCACTCAAACGAGCATCAATTTTGCAGAATTGTGTTGCGTCTGCTTCTAGTGTGGGGCATCAGCTTTGGCCTGGCAGCAGCTCCGCTCCTGACCAACGACTACTTCGGCGAGCACTTCTATGGCAACAATGGCGTCTGCCTCTCGCTGCACATACACGATCCGTACGCCAAGGGCTGGGAGTACTCGGCGCTGCTGTTCATCTGCATTAACACCATCTCCCTGATCTTCATACTCTATTCCTATGTGCGCATGCTGCAGGCGATCCGCGACTCTGGCGGTGGCATGAGAAGCACCCACAGTGGACGAGAGAGCGTGGTGGCCACGCGGTGAGTGGAGAGACGAGACTTTAGCCATAGCTTATATAACTTTTATAGTCGCTACAGTCTACAGTCATTTATATGATATAAAGAGCTCTGCTCTGGGCATTTCTTTTATATACATTACTCAGAGAGAAAAGGCGTCTGAAGCGTAGCTATAGCAGCTGTGGCTATAGCTAGGCTCTAAACAGTCTATAAAATCTCGTAAAGATATCATATACAATTTGATATATAGTATGATATATATCATCTTAATAGACTTCTCTATGTTGTCACTATATAGTTCAAACATATTTAATATATAATCTTTATAGTATATAAAAAGTGCCCTATAGTCTAGAAGGACAGTATAAATATAGTCCACAAAAGATACGGCTTTATGACCCCATATAGATATATCTCTATACTTGATTGTTTCTGTAGTCTGTGTATAGCTTATAGGCATGTATACAGGATCTCTATAAACCATGCACCGAATATAGGTCTCCAAAAATGCGGAGCCTAGAAAGTCTCTTTCTTTCTAGTTCTTATACATTTGTTGGCAAATTTATAGAATCTGCAACATGAAATAGATATTTCAATCTTAACTTTGAGTATTTAGTTCTAAGAGTCTATGCACAAGTATCTTCTATCTCTGTTCAATTCGAGCAGTAGAGTGTTTTATAATTCTTAATCTTCTTTTACAGCTTTGCCATTATTGTGACCACCGACTGCGCCTGCTGGCTGCCCATAATCGTGGTTAAGGTGGCAGCGCTCTCAGGTAAGCACAGCATCCAGCTCTCTCTCTCTCTTTCTCACTTGCTCTAGCTCGTGCTTTACTCTTCTAGGCTGTGTTATATCGCCCGATTTGTATGCCTGGCTGGCTGTGCTGGTCCTGCCAGTGAACTCGGCGTTGAATCCAGTGCTCTATACTCTAACGACAGCCGCATTTAAGCAGCAGCTGCGTCGCTACTGTCACACGCTGCCCACCTGCTCCCTGGGCAACAATGAGACGCGATCCCAGACGCAGACGGCCTACGAATCGGGCTTGAGCGTCAGCTTGGCTCATATGGGCGGCAGCTTGGGTGGATCGGGACGTAAGCGCATGTCGCACAGACACATGAGTTATCTGTAGGGCGTAAACCTCGGTTCTCTATAAATGTGATCTAAATAGTTACAGAAAGAAAGAAACGTTAAATTACTATAAATTATTACAATTGTATTGTAAATACATATATATTTGGAATTTTGGGCACAGTTCGCAACTGCAAAATGAAAATAAACATTTGTTTCTCTCTCCATCTCCCGCTTCCTCTCCTTCTACTTCTACTTCTAGTTCTAGTTCTAGTTCTCCTTCTCTCTCTCTTTGTGTCTCGATGTTAAAATGTGGTGTCGACTAAACTCTTATATATTATATAGAAGAAAGTGTTTTATAGTAGCTGCTACTGCTACAGCTACTGGGGCTCGGTGGCTATGTTAACTTCGCTCTGTATATGATATGGTCCCTCGTTCACATAGGCGGTAAAGCGAACAATCTCTGTCGCTGAGAACTCATTGCTGACGGAGAGCTGTTCCATGATTTGCCACTTAAGATACTTGACATCCTTGTGTAGATCGTGTTGACGTGAGAGCAGAAACTCAATGGCACCGCCCGTGCACTGCACAGCCTTGCAGCCCCATTGATATTGGCAGAGGGTCTTCAGCAGACCCAGCGCTGCGAGCTGTAAATCGGGAAACGGAGTTTGCAGCAACTCCATAATGTGATTCACTTGCTGGCCGCCAGCAAAGCATTCATACCAATTCTTTAAGATGACACTGCAATTTGAAGACACATAGAGAGAAAGAGAGAATTAGTTACAGCTATATAGAGTCTCAATTGCAGCTCACCTCAGCTCCTGGCTGACTGGCGTATTGATTGTATAGATAACATCCAGCGAGTTGAGCATGCGTATTTTCAGTGGCGGCGATAAACTCTTCGTGTAGGCAGAGTATTTGCGTAACATCTGCTCCATGGCCGGCTGAAACTGAACATGCATTAGCATCTTGCCCTGCACTGTGCTTGCCAGGTTGGCCAACGTGTCCATGGCAGTGGGCAGCACTGTCTCATCGCCCGATGCCAGCAGATCGAATAGGCAGGCCAGCATATGTGGATAGCCGGTGATGATCTTTTGCGGCTGGACAGCAGCAATTTTGCCAAAGAATTTCATAATACTCGGTATGAGTAGCGTATCCAAGGGATTGTCCTCGATGTGCTGCACCCGACTGCTGATAATGTCGAAGACGCGGCGTCTCTCCATATAGCTTAGGCCGTGATTCTGTTCGGCCAACGGCACAAGTATCTCCATTACGCTCGCCTGCAGCAACACATCGTCGTTGTCCAGCTCACTTAACGCCGCATCCAAAATGAACTCTACTGAGGACAGGGAGTCGGCGCTACGCTTGGCTAACATGACGCCTAGCTCGTAGGCGCGACAGCGCACTACCTCGTTCTGCTTGAGCAGCTGCACGAGCTTCGACTGTACGCTTTCGTCATTCAGCCCTTGGTCGAGCACAATGGTCAGAATGTTGATGGCAGCTGTGCTGCTTTGTGTCTCTGGCTGCTGGAGTTCGTCGAGCACATAGACAAGCAGCTCATTGCTGGGCAGCGGCTGAATTTGCATGGCGCTGGCTTGTTGGCGGCGCAGCTCCTTTAGCAGAATGTTCAGTACCAGGGAACGCAGTGCGGGATTCGAATGATGTAGAGCCGGATTAAGCAGCTGCGGCAGATTGGCATCGCTGGTGTCCAGCTGCAATTGCTCGAGGCAGCTACTCATGAAGTCGGTGCACAGATTAACCAGTGGCTCCTTATCCGTACCCTCGACAACGGCGCATTCGTAGAGCGCCGGCGCACGCAACAGCAGCTCAATTATTTTTCGCGGCAGGGCCGATTGTTTGTTGATTTTCGTATACATGCTGGTGAGCGTCTCCAGGCGCTTGCCCTTTGCATTTAGCTGACGTAAATTGGTTTGCCACCATTCTTCCTCCATGTTGGGATCTTTGCTTGACTTTTTAGACGTACTCAAAAGCAAGATTTGATTATTGAATGAAATTAAAACAAATCAAGCAACAGTCTACTTATCGATATAAATTGGGACTGTCGATTAACGCCAGTCACGGTCACTGTGTGACCGTTTATGGCACGCAGTCAAAATACTTAAAAGTACCGAAAAACATTCACATATTTAGTGATAAGTACTTAATAAAGTTTCAAGGGATACCTTAAATATATATAGATATATTAATATAAATCATTTATTTTTGAATTAAGTACATATTATTTTTATCAAACAAATGTAAAATGTTTCTCACAAATATTGTCCAATTAGTATATATCATAAAAAGTGAACAGAATTCACTTCTGCATCGATATATCGGTAAGCCAATATTTATTTCATTTATTAAAACTGATATATTCAGATTCACTTTTAGAATGGGCTGAATAATATTTATTCCCAACAACTTTAAATGTTAAACAAAAATATTTAATATTACCGCAATCGATCTATCGTTATTTTAGTATTTATTGCAACTATCGATAGGCACAGTATATATTTTACAACCCTAAGTACGACGCCATTTTACAAATAGTTTTTTTATGTGACGCAGCGTTGTTGTAATCAAAAAATTGTAATTTTTCGTGGATTGCAGCAAGTGCAAAGGTGAAACAGAATTAAAGATGTCGCAACGATTTGCGCCAGGCCAAGCGCCGGTGCAGTCGCGCTATCAGCCGCCACCTCAGGCCCCCGGAATGCGTCCCTATCCGCCAGGCACCGGCTCAACTTTCCCGGTAAGTGAGAAAATCAAATCATCGATTAGTCTCAATTTTCACATTAAGTTAAATTAACAACTTTGTTTTGCTGGGCAGCCTCGCGGATTTCCGCTGCATCCGAACACAACGCAGCCAGTACCAGGGAGCGTTGCCGCTCCAGTTGGACCCGGACCCGCCCTGCTGCAGCGCACCACCCAGCCCACTTTCCAAAGCGGTTTGCGCGGCAGCGGCTCGGGTGGTGGTGGTGGCGGTGGCAGCAAGCGATCAGCCGAATCGCGCAGCCTGAACAGCGGTCCCAACAAGGGTGAGTTTGTTGCTGGCGCCAAAAAGAAGAAGAAGCTGGCAGACAAGATATTGCCACAGAAGGTGCGGGATTTGGTACCAGAGTCGCAGGCCTATATGGATTTGCTGACATTTGAGCGCAAGCTGGACGCTACCATCATGCGCAAACGTCTGGACATACAGGAAGCACTCAAGCGACCAATGAAGCAGAAGCGCAAGCTTCGCATCTTCATTTCGAATACATTCTATCCGAGCAAGGAGCCAAGCAACGATGGAGACGAAGGCGCCGTTGCGTCATGGGAGCTGCGTGTCGAGGGACGGTTGCTGGAGGATGGCAAAGGGGATCCCAATACAAAGATCAAACGTAAATTCTCATCGTTCTTTAAGTCGCTGGTCATCGAGCTGGATAAGGAGCTATACGGACCGGACAACCATCTGGTCGAATGGCATCGCACACACACCACCCAGGAGACGGACGGCTTTCAGGTGAAGCGGCCCGGCGATCGTAACGTGCGCTGCACCATCCTGCTGCTGCTCGACTACCAGCCGCTGCAGTTCAAACTGGATCCCCGGCTCGCTCGACTGCTGGGCGTGCACACACAGACGCGACCGGTAATAATATCGGCGCTGTGGCAGTACATAAAGACGCACAAGCTGCAGGATGCCCACGAGCGAGAGTATATCAATTGCGACAAATATTTGGAGCAGATTTTCAGCTGTCAGCGCATGAAGTTTGCGGAGATACCGCAGCGTCTTAATCCGCTGCTCCATCCACCAGATCCGATTGTGATCAACCATTTCATTGAGAGCGGAGCGGAGAACAAACAGACCGCCTGCTATGACATCGACGTGGAGGTGGATGATACGCTCAAAAACCAAATGAATAACTTTTTGATGAGTACCGCCAGCCAACAGGAGATCCAGGGGTTGGACACCAAGATACATGAGACGGTGGATACGATCAATCAAATGAAAACGAATCGCGAATTCTTTCTCAGCTTTGCCAAGGATCCGCAGATGTTCATACATCGCTGGATCATTAGCCAGACGCGGGATCTCAAGGTAAGGCTAGATACTCGAATTATTCGCAGAAACAATTCTATTAATTTTGTATTCTTTGCCAGCTCATGACCGATGTGGTGGGCAATCCGGAGGAGGAACGTCGCGCCGAGTTCTACTATCAGCCCTGGACGCATGAAGCTGTATCGCGCTACTTCTTCACCAAGGTCAATCAGAAGCGCGCCGAACTGGAGCAGGCACTGGGCATACGCAATGGCTAAGCTATGGATTGAGCAGTTGTTCCATCAATGTCCATGTCGCATGTAGTACGGCAAACTCTTTTTTCCTTCGGCAGTTTAGTTTAAGCCCTAAATGCTACACACCCTATACATATATATATATATATACTATATAAATAATTCTATCATTTTTTTGCCAACAACAACAAAATCAGCGACAGCCGCTAAAACAAAAATAAACAAAAAAATGTAATACAAAACAATTGAGATTATTGAGATATATAGATCGAATCCATGAATTGATGAATATAGCTCGTCTTCGTCTCCATTGACAATTGGCTAAGATGTTTCGTAAGGGTATAGACTATATATATTTTATATACACTTTGTAATTTTGAAGTTGGCTAGACAAGACTACTTCTGAATTTACCAGTGATTGGGATTATTGTAGTTTCTATAGTTTCTGTATGAAAGGTAGACTTGGACAACATCTGAACGCTTATTGTAAAGAAGCTGACAAAGCCATTAGAGGCTTATAAGCTAGCGACGTAGAACTTTCTGAACCAGCTGGGTCGTCAAGCTAGGCTTAAATCTAAAGCTAGACATAGTCTAGAATCTGACAGTTTTGGAGCTGCATAATCTAGGATTTCAATGTCCGACAATTGCTGAATTTAAAAACGTTTTTCTCAATCTGTCGGTCGTCTTTGAACAGTCTATGTTAGTTTTCGAGGTGCTGCTGCTGCATCAAGTGGTGATATAATAGACTAGCTTGTGCTCTCCGGATAGCAGGCATCTCACCTGCAGAGGTGTGTTATGCATAAATAAATACGTGATGGTAAAATTTGATTATTTGATGATGCTTGCATTTGCTACATTAAACAGTTACATGTGAGCGTGTGTGTGTTGTGTGTGTGAGTGTGACTGTGAGTGTGAGTGTGTGTGTGTGTGTGTGTGCGTGTGTGTGTGTGATGTATTACAGCCTAAATAAATCGACGGAATGTACAACTGCATATCAATGGATAAATGCATTAAAGCAGTTGCTTCTCTCTTTCTCTCTGTCGCCTCTCTCTGCGTCTGTGTATTCTGTATCTCTGTATCTTTGGCTAATCCCGTTTGGGATGTGCGTCGGCGCGATTAGATCGTGTTGGCTCTTCAATGGCCAGGCCCGTATCGACGCGTGTCTTATCCACAGGGTACAGCCAGCGCTGGTAGAGATAGATGAGGAAGACAATATCGTCGCGCAGACAGGCGACACGATGGGCCGTTGGCATTGTGATGATGAAGGCAAAGAAGTCATCGATGAACGTGTTGAATGCTTTGTACATGAAGGCGCGCCAGGGCAGCGCGGCCACAGACTTGAGCTTGTAATTGACAAACAGTTGGGGCAGCATGAACAGAAAGCCAAATGCGTAGACTCCATTCACAAGCGAGTTGAGCGTCCAGCTGTACCATGACCGATGCGGCTGATAGAGCAGCGAGTAGGCAGCGCCGCCCAGACACAGTGGATAGAGCAGATAGCTTAGATAGCGCATGCCCTCGCGATCGAACTGCTGCGTCTGCTGCTCGGCCAGCTGGCCGGGCTCTGGCTGCTCAGACTCCTGCAGTTTGCGTGTGATGAACGATGTGAAACTGAAATGCAGGCGCAAGATCTTCTTGCACTTCCACAGCTCGATCAGCGTGCCTAGGCCGACGGGCACAATCACCAAATAGGAGGTCTGCTCGTCCAGCAAATATAAAAAGATGATGAACTGCGAGAAGGCGCGCCACAAGGTGGTTCGTGTGGATAGACCCTCATAGGATTGCTTCTTGCGCCAAAAGGAGACATCGTTCTTGAAGCTCAAGAAGTCAAACAGCATCTGCAAGCGACAAAGGAGCAAGTGCATCAGGCAAATCTCCCTCTCTCTCTCTCTCTCTATCAGCTACTTACATGCACGCTGGATACAAAGATAGTGCCACAGAGCAGATATACGTTCGTATCGGAAAATATGCCTTTGACCTCGTCAATGTCCTTCTCGGCAAAGCCAATGGACTGGAGGGTCTGTGTGGCATGCTCCATGAGCAGCATCAGTCGCAGCTTGCCCACGCCAACGGGCTTGTAATGGAAGCTAAACGTAAATTCGGTGGTGTTGCTGGTCACTGGCACCAGATGCTTCAGTCTCGTATTGAACATATCCGTCTGCACGATGGGCAAAATCTGTTGCATGCGATTCACTCGGATCAGTGGCGCCAATTCGGGCGGCAAGTCCGCTTGGGATAGAGCGAATGCATCTGTTAGCAGCGTCACATACACATTGGAGCGTATATGTGTGCTGGGCAGATCTGCGTTGACGTTTGTCCTCTTCTTCTTTTTCACCTGCTGCTGCTCGCTGGGCTCCGGCTTATCCTTCTGATTGATCAGGTTGAAGGCCTCGGCACGTGGCACCATATAATCACAGAGATTAAGCGTATGCACCACTGTGGGTCCATCGCGTTTCAAGGTGCGCCATTCGAGGGGCTCACCCTCCAAGGCCAGCACCACATGCAGATACAGGGTGCCATTCCGTCGCGTCTTGAGCGGCACATCGAGCTGAAAGTCGTGATCGAAGGCTTGCGCATAATTGAAACGTTTCGCCTTATACACATCATGCACTTCACTGGCGATGGGGTTCCGGTTCTGCGAAGTGAACAGGGCCAATTGCAAGCGCGGACGCTCGGTCAGAAAGGACGTGTAGCAGGGGGAGCTGCTGCATTGTAGCGTCGTAAATAACTGTGACATTTGGTAGATCGAATTTAGGATGTAGGCTAAGAACGCCACGCCCACCAGCGTCGAGATCGAAGGCAAGGCCATGACGTAGCACGGATCCTAGCCAAGTGTGGGTCCAGCACTGACTGGAGTCTCCCTTTTTTTCCTAGAGTTCTTGCAAAACTCCGCCAAAAGCTACGTCAGTGAAAGCAACTTTTTTCTTTTTTAATTAATGGCCAAAAATGCCGGCGTAGCTTAGTTCCAGTGTTGTGAAACGCGTAAATACTTTAGACAAATGGCGCAAGTTTATGCCGCGTCCCGGGTAAGTTTTAAAACTAAAGAATAACGGCAGCTTTGTAATTTAAAAATAAAAGATATACAAATAACTAAAAAATCAAATATCGTATACATTTCAGATTTAAGTACTGCTGACAATAAATGTTAACACATAAGTTTGAAAAAAGAAACGACATTTCAAGGAGCTTAATTCAAGAACAAAAAGTACTAAAAAATACCAAAAATAATGACTGCCTACTAAATACTCCATTGAAATTATGTGAAACTGTTCAAATTATTTAAACGTGATATATGAATAAAAAGTTCTATTTCATTGCTATATCGGTACATTTTTATCGCTACAATTTTACAGCAGCTTATATAAAATTTGAATAAATTCAACAAAAATTGTTCTATTGTTTGGTACAGCACGTATCTACATTAGGTACACTTACGGTATATGCAGCCCTGGTTTGGGCAAATCTTTCGTTCAGTTATAAGACCAAGTGCAATTGACAATCGATCAATTTAGCCGCCAAACCAATATACTTAAAGTTGAAATTCAAATATAAATTTTCCGTTTTTTAATTTTTATTTGGTAGCAGTTTTATTTAAAAGTTTATACATATTACACATGTATATATATATTTAGTAAATATATACAATATGAACTTGTAAAATTAGGTACTAGAGTTGAATTTTTTGTCGTTTTTTTTTTATTTTTATAATTATAGCTATTAAGTACTATTTATGTTTTCGTCACACACAAAAATTTCCAAACCTTTGGAATAAATTAAACGACTAAAATGTACACATTACGAAACAAAAAAATGTAAAGTATATATATATATATATATATATATATATATATATATATATATATTGTTAAAAATCTGTGATAAAAAGTGTATTAGCAAATAGAGGATGTTAATAAAACAGAAGGAATCGAAATGAGAGGTTATGTATGAACGATCGATGCTATAAATATGTGGACAATTTTGGTTGAGAATGTAATAGTAAGAGATAGAGAGAGATGATGGAAGTGTTCGCTATATGGTATATATGTATGTATATGGTAGATATATATTTAGTAGATATTCGCATAAATAAAGAAGGGAGAACCCGGACTTAGGCGAGACGTTTTTTTCGACTAGGTGACAAGATTTTGAGCATTGTAACAACGGGCGCCTCGAACGACATCGAGACGACAAAGGATAGGAAATAGGAGGCGACCGTCAGACCAAAGAACATGACGACCTGCCGAGAGAAAGAGAGAGAGAGAGACATAGATAGATAGGTATATGTAGAACGAAAGGGAAAGAAAAATATGAGGGAGTTCTACTTACCATCATATCTCCGCCCAGATGGAGCGGCGCATCCGAATTGAGCGCCATGGAGCGTATGACAATGGGATGCACCAGGTAGGCGCAGTAGGTGACACGGGAGAACGGATAGAAGCAGGGCGCCGATAGCAGCGAGTTGATATAGCCGCCATAGCCCGTTGAGCAGGCGATGGTTATCCAGGCCAGCGACAGCGCCCAGGCCGAATGACTGAGCGAGCTATATGCGGCCGCTGTAAACTGTGACAGATCGGCCCGGTATAGACCAAAGACCAGGACGAACAGATTTAGCATTGCCAGCGTCCAGGCTGTGGCAACTGTTAGTCGTGGCAAACGAATCTTGCAATTGGTGCGAAACAGTATCCAGCCGACAGCCATGCCAATTAGATAGGGACCCAATCTCGTCCAGGGCTTATCGTAGATTTTGTCGAAGAGCGCCAGTGGATCATCCGTATTGGGCCTGTGATTGTTCGTGAAGGCAATCACCGCTGTGGTTATCCAGGACAGCACCAAAAACACCAATGTGGTTATAGCCGATAGCTTAAAGTGACGTACGCCCACAATTAGGATTATAGCGCCGATCATATAGAACTGCGTGTCATTCGCCAGATACCAGCTCCACAGCATGCACTGTAAGAGAAAGAGAAAGGGAGACAGAGACGGAGAGAAAGACAGAGAAGGGGAAACAGAAGATTAGTGGGGCTTATGAGGGAAGCTAGCGAGAGGTACTTCGAGGGATCGCGCCAGAGATCTCTCGATAGGTCGTGTGAGAGGCCATTGGATGGCCCTTCGAGGGATCTATCGAAGGATCTACTGAGGGATCTATCAAGGGATCTGTCTAGGGATCCATCGACGAATCTATCGAGGGATCAGTCAAACGATCTGTCGAGGGATCTATATTCGGACCAATCGAAGAACTTCTCGAGTGCTTTATTGGCGATTTACCCACCATCTCATCAACGGGAAACAGCGTATTGATATAGAGAATGTTGCGCCACCAATAGTCCGGACAGGTCACATGGTCCATTGTTGGTGGATCGAATATAGAGTAGGCAGCCAAATATCTCATTGTCACTTGGACCACACCCAGCACGAACAGGTAGGGAGCAGTGAGTCGCATGAAGCGATAAGCAACTAAGCCAAAAAAGTGAGCGGTGCCCGCTGTGAATTCATTGGCGCCCTTGCTCAGCTTGTTAAGTTTGCCCTTGGCATTCGTGCGGAAATACAAATAGGAGATCAGAAAGCCGCTGATGAAGAAGAAGGTATCCACGCTGAATGGTCCATTGGTGATTGCTTGAAAGAAGAAATTCTGTTCGACCTCCTTGCGCATCTCCATGTTGTCCGAGTATTTGAAGACCACAATGCACGTGTGTCCGAGGATGACCCAAGCCATGCTGAAGGCGCGCAAGCCATGGATACAGGGTATTGTATCGGCGCCCACATTGCGATCACAGATGGCATTGAAGTTCGTAATTGCCGAAAAGGAGAGCAACAGTTCCGAGTAGATGCTTAGCTTTTTGGGTTCGTGCAAGTGACCCTCCAGGTGCTCATCTGAGTTGCTGTTGTTCTTGTTGCTGTTGTTGTTTTTGTTGTTCGAAATGGAGACGACACCGCCGCTGCTGCTTCTGCTGCTGGTGCTGCCGATGCTGACCCCTTGATGATGACGATGATGATGATGATGATGATGATGAACGTTTATGCGCTCATGATCGTGATGCTCAAGTTCGTGTTCGTGATCGTGGTCGTGTTCGTGTTCATGCTCGTGCTCGTGATGGTGGCCATTGCCGCTGTCATTGTCGCTGGGTGGCAAGTGAAGTACCAGCTGATCGAGCTGCTTCAGCGAATCGGATTGATTTGATTGCTTCAACGCCTCCTCATGGGCAGTCATCGTGTCGCTGTAGTCGGAGGAAGCACAGCCTATGCCCGAGCTAGTCTCACTGTTGTTCATCATTTCCTTGTCTTGCAGACGCAGCGCCTCCTGCAGTTGGCGATTCAGATAGATCTCGTAGAGTGTGCCGCAGCAGATCAGTCCAAGCACAATGCAAGAGACCACACTAAATCGAGACAGACGCAGAGGGAGAGAGAAAGATGGCGAGAGGGAGAGTGAAGTAGAATGTTAATATGATAATCAAATAAATGGAGGGCGTGGCGGGAATAGCTTCGCTTCTTTTTCTTTTTTCGGACTCGCATTTCACACGATTTCAAATGCTAATGGCTTAAGCCAACGGTGGCACAGTCGGGGGAGGGGAGTTCAGTTGTGGCATTCACTATTTGCGCTGTTGATTAGCGACAGACTCACGCTTATTTTTGAAAGTAAGTTTTGGGTTACTTACATCAGCAGGCAGAAGGTTTTGTCCGACCAAATGTTAAACTCCTTGTCCGTGGGCACGCGGATATCGAGCACGCGCAGCTCACGGCTGGGCAGCTCCAAGCGTGCAAAACCGGACATGCGACGTACATCGGCAATGCTGCAGCTCGAGGGTAGACACAAGCCCATATATAAAGTGCGTAGCTGCAAAAGGAAAGAGAGTAAAAGGTAAGACCGGAAGAAAAAAGAAAGAAGTTTAAGGCTTAAGAAAAAAGGGTTTTCACTGCTCAATGTAGAGCTGTAAGATGAAGTCAACTCTCTAGCGGAAGAGACGCCAAGGGAGAAGCTAAGTAGAAAGCAGGCAGCAGGAGGGCGTAAAGGGTGTCTTACTTTTAGATGCATAGTCAAATTTTAGATCCAAATATCTATATATTAAGTAAGTCATAATCAATGAAGAAGTTAAGTGAGGGGCTAGCTTATCTGGGAAGCTAAGAGCAGCATGATACTGATGACAGAGTGAGTGAACGATGGCAAGTTATGTATTCAAAATCAATTAATGGGAGAAACATTAGTTGAACTGAGCAACTTACTTAGCTGCTCGCTTCTGTCGACACGCCTAATATAAAGCGTAGAGTTTATTTACCTTGAAAGCAAGAAGCGAAGTGAAGTGAAGTTTCGAATTGCATTTCATTTTGACTTTGCATCTCTGGTCTGGCATAAGCCAAGGCAGCGAAAAGCCTTTAGAGAAGTTCTTGCTATTAAGCTTCTACAAATGCTTCTCGCTGTGAAATATATTTTGTATCATTTAATTGTAGCTCTATGATTTCCCTCTCTCTCTCGCTCTGTCTCACTCTCTTTCTGTTAACTTATTCAATTGCTGCTCTCTTTCTTAGATTTGGCCTGGAATTACTTTAGACTTACCATTTCTGTTGGCATCGTTTCATTCAGCTGCAGCTTAAGTACATAGAAGCCCGGCACAAAGGGAGGCGGCGCATTGTAGACGCTGCTGTAGGCCTCGGCATACGCCTCGGCAAAGGGCAATCCATTGTTTCGATTCCCATTCGACGTGTTGTTGGTGTCCTTGCTGCTGCTGCCGCCGTTGGTGTTGTTGGAGCTAGAACTGGAGCGGGAGCTGTCAATGGTGCTGGAGCCGCCGTAAATGGCTTCGCAAAGGGCCAATGAACCCATCCAATAGTTGTTGCCATAGAAGAAACCGGAAGTGTAATGTCCGGAAGCATCGTCCACTGTAAGCAAAAAGCACAAGCAAATGTTGAAAGTGAAGGGCATTATTTAATGCAAGACCGATTAGCATTCGCCCCGTCAGGCCCTTACTGGGCGAATTGCGTACTCATGCGTTTACCCTGTACACATAGTGAGTGTCCAACTGGGGAATATTGTCTATCATAGAGTAACGGGAATCTTTGAGTATATGCAGCTAAGGTTTAAGCTAATATCCACGCACTCCAAAACTAAAGCTACCATAACCAAAAGTACAACTCATTCACTCCCAGACACTCTTTAGACTTTTGAAGCATCCTTTTTTGACAATGACTTTTACCTTCATCTGCAAAACAGAATTCTTGTTTCCATTTCGAATTCCTTTCGTCTCAGAAACTTGAGCAGAATCAAGTTTGACTTTTGATGAGCACACCTGGTTAGGCCCTCTTATCTACTGGCAATTGTATATTTTGAAGTAGCTCTCATACATTGAGTATGTAGACTTTCGAGGTGTATAAACACACTTTAGGGCCAACATCTCTATATGGCATGGAGATAGGTGTCTATCTATAGGTATCTATTTATAGAGTCATAGTTAAAAAGAAATATAAACACCCTGTAGTGCTAATATCACTATATAAATATCGAGTGTAGTGAAAGGTAAATATTCAGATATATTCAAAGAGGATGAGGTGCTTCTGATAGCTCTGTAAAGAAGTTCTATGGCTGTGGCACAGCTCTCAGTCTTCTCTTCTTGGACCTAGTGGGTAAGGCGCATACAAGAGATAGATCTGTACGTAGGAAAGCCAACTGGATCGTAGCGAAGTGTGTAGGATTGAGGAGTTCTTATAGACATGAGTCTTGAATGAGCTTTATGTATATTGCTTAAAGCATATCTATCAAGAGCCGTTGTTACTTAAACGCCCAGGGTATCTGCTAGTCGTTCACACTACTCAGCTGGTTTTGAAATGATTTTCCTTTTCGTCTCTGGCATCTGTTGGTACATAAAAAAGTTGCCGTTGCTGCTGATTATATAATGTTGTTTGTTGGCTCTGTTTCTGTCTTCCCTGTCAGCTCTGCCCCGCACCGACTCGCGCGGTCGCTCGCTGCCCACCACTTCTCCAACATGCAACATGTTGCGCGCTGTTGTCGCATTTAAGCACATGCGAACTTTATGTTTCAGCTCAAGTTTTTTTCTCTTTTGGCCATGCGATCTTCTCCCATTTAGCTTGTCATATATTTTCAGTTGTTTGTTGTTGTTGTGAATTGTCTTGTAACCAGTTGCCAGTTGGTTCAGCAACCAGTTTCTTTGGTCGTCAGCTCCCAACAGGCAACAATAAAGTAATATCAACTGCAGCTGCGCAATACTTTGTTGTTGCCTGTTGTTGTTGCAGACATTTTGGCATTTGGGCTGGCAACTTCCCTCTGTACGCAAATTTTGCTGGTGGTTTTTTTGGCGCTTGACTTGACCAAAACGCAGATTTATGTATGTTGCAGAGGCGTAGCATGGGACAGCTGGGAAAGGGGGAAAGGGGTCTTAGCTAAAGGGGAAGAAGGAAGCTTGTAAGGGGAAACGTGGCCTAAGCCAGCTGCTTGTAGACCACGTCCCATGGCCATGACCATGAGCAGGTTTTAACATGAATAACTTTCCGGGCAGCTCTGAACAAGATGTCAGAGAAAGAGGGAGAGTGAAAGGAAGACAGAGACAGATGAAGAGTGGGAAGAGTGGGCAGGCCAGTTGCTAAAGAGGTGATGATGAGCATTTTAGCGCATTGTTAATTGTTTAGTCAACGATTATTAATTAATCAAAGCAATTCTTGACCAACCCGGGCTGACACATTTGCGTAATACCCTGTAAGACTTGCTCAAAATGGGCTGGCATGTTGATATTACGGAGATCTGTAAAAATATTGCATAATTCATTTGACCCATGCAAATCGATAGATATCAATGCAACAGCTGAAAATTATTAGAAGTCTATCGATATCGATAAATATCGAAATGACAATTGCTTATTTTGAGAGCATATTAAAAGTTATTATTTTCTATCAAAGAGTTTATTTAAATCGATGACATTGTTTATCGGAAATCGAACACTCAAAAATCGATAATTACATATATGTCACCAGCGATTGAAAGTCTTCTTATATGGCACACTGCTCAATTGATTGCAAAATATTGGCATAATCGATAAATATCGATAATAGCTTGGAGACTAAATTTTCATGTATCGAAATGAATGTATATTTGGCTTGTAAAATATGATTAACTTAAGCTTAGGCCATCTATTGCTACTTTCCCTTGGCGTGATTGGTTTAAATGATTGAATCGATAAATATCGATAGTAGCAACGAGACAAGATGTAATTGGTAGCCATGCCCATGCTTAGCTTAGAAGAGCATCTGCTCGTTGCCTTCACTTGGTCGGAACACTTTTACTTTTTTCCCACACGCTCGCCGCCCTTTGGAGTGGCTCTTTCACTCTGGCCCCTTTGCCAACATTCGTCTTTCTACCTCACCCTCTGTCACATTTTTGTAATGTTTAAACATGTTTTTGTTGCTGTTTCTGTGTGTCTGTTGTTTGTGTTTTTTTTTTTTCTTTTTTCGGTTTCAATTTAATTTGCGATTGAGGTCATTTGATTTCTGTTGGCTTTGGGATTTTGTTGTCTTGGCTTTTATGTAATTGTTAGGCCAACTCTGCTTTGGTTTTTTTTTTTTTGGTAAGAGCTGAGGTCTTCGTAGATCTGTGGGACCTCTAACTAGTCAGATTTCATTTTGTATTTGTCACTTCTCTCTGCATTTTTGTTTTGTTTTTGTGATGTCTCATGTTCAATTGAACGTGTCATTCAAGCGTTTAACGTGTCTTCAACAACAAAAGCAGCCCAACAAAAATAATCAAGCGTCGACAGATCCAAAGTAGACGCGAGACACAGACTCCATCAAGGTAAGCGCCGCGATGTACATGACAAAAAGCCCGATCGGAGCAAACAGCAGCCGGAAAAAGCCCAACCAGGTAGCGCTTGGACCAGTGTCGTCTCTCCCCTCTCCCTCTCTGCCCCTCAGCCTCTCTTTTCATCGAGTACCGTTTAACCCCAGCTCAATTTGATCTTGTACTCGCAGCTCTAGCTGCTGTACCCATATAAATTCTTGTATGGCCGCAAGGTCTTCGCTTCACAGACGAGACCCGAAAAATCATCTAAATAACACGGTCAATGGGCATGGAGCGAAGCGGTGGGTATGGGGTTATGGGGTCCACAACCATCAGATCAGCCAACATGCTCTAACCTAATTGAAACTTGTTGACAGATCTATTAAATAAATTAAATTAAATAAATTAATAAAAAAATTAAATACTGCAGTTTCAACCTTCAAACTGCTTGGAAGCATTAACTTATTTGCCATCACTCATTCAGGCAGTCAATCAATGAATTGAAAGTTGTTGACAGATCTATTAAATACTGCAGTTTCAGCCTTCAAACTGCTTGGAAGCATTAACTTATTTGCCGTCACTCATACAGGCAGTCAATCAATCACTCAATCAATAAAACAGTCTATATATCAGTCTGTACACTGATTGTATTAGCGAATACACCTTTGATTGATCTAATCGTTTGTATTAGCACATTGTGCCTAGACACCATCAAGAGCCATAGACACATTGGATATGTTTATGGCGTCTCTCACATACCTGATATGCAAATTTAAATATTTAGAATTTAATAAGCTTGCAGATAAAACATTTGAATACTGCTCATTGTTTAGTCATAAAACATTGTCAAATTTGTGTTTGGCTAATGTTTACTGATATGTGTGGTACCAGAAGAGTAATTGCAGTACTCTGACAGGCATGATAATAATCATGATGATAATATCAATGACAAGGCAATGATGAAATAATGAAAATTTGACTGAGTAACAGAATGAGAATGATAATGATATTGATAATGATATTGATAATGATAATGATATTGATAATGATAATGATAATGATAATGATAATGATAATGATAATGATATTGATAATGATAATGATAATGATAATGATAATGATAATGATAATGATAATGATAATGATAATGATAATGATAATGATAATGATAATGATAATGATAATGATAATGATAATGGTAATGATAATGATAATGATAAGGATAATGATATTGATAATGATATTGATAATGATAATGATAATGATAATGATAATGATAATGATATTGATAATGATAATGATAATGATAATGATAATGATAATGATAATGATAATGATAATGATAATGATAATGATAATGATAATGATAATGATAATGATAATGATAATGATAATGATAATGATAATGATAATGATAATGATAATGATAATGATAATGATAATGATAATGATAATGATAATGATAATGATAATGATAATGATAATGATAATGATAATGAAATGGAAAAATGCAAATAATACTCATAATGTTGATGTCTGTATTGTCTGTAATGCAATAGATAGTGATAAAGATATCATTGAAGGTTATGAAAATGCTGTCGACTATGATAATGAGCAGCTGCCAAAGCCTATGCATGCCTAGTGCAATTTTGTAGAGCTCACGTTACATACTTGGTCATAGATACATCATACCCTGCTGCTAGAGCAATGAAAGAATGCTTTAAAGACTTGTATTTATTATGTTGTTAAGCAATTTTCATCTAACTGAGAATCAATATTGTCCATAGGAAGCCATAACAAATAGTTTTCGCTGATATATCAGCAATAAACTTGAACTGATGTTTGGCAATCGCTTATGGGGTATTTCTCTCTCTATATATGTGTGTGGATATTCAGATGTGTTTCTTATTTTTGTCATTGTCACCTGAGTGTCAATGAAATCGCCAATTGAAAACAATCAGCGAATTGTCAAGAGCTGTTTGGCTCAAGTCAAGTTGCGATTGGAGGTTATGACAGGGAAATATATAAATTTATATATATATCTATAGGGTATATTGAAGTGGGGCGCCTGCGCAACATAGGTGTTAACACTAACACC